TAAAAATATTTGATGCTAATAAATGTTGTTTTAAATATTAAATAAATTCAAGTTTTTTTTATAATCATTTTGTATTGTTTTTTATTATATTTTAAATTATAAATATACATACATACATATATACATATGTATATATATATATATATATATATATATATATATATATATATATATATATATATATATATATATATATATATATATATATATAAAGTAATTGCATATAAAGTATATAATCTATATAAAGTAATTGCATTTGATATATATATATATATATATATATATATATATATATATATATATATATATATTGATATATTACTTTAAAAAAGGGATTTTTATTTTTATTATTATATTTTTTTTTTAAATACTTTTAAATAATTAAATAAAATTGTTTTATAGATAAGAATTCTACATTTTGCTTTTGTTTTATTACCAATTTATCAAAGTTGTTTTTATTCTAATGTTCACTTAAAATAATATTAAATAATTTTTATAGAAAAGATCATAATACTTAAAATTATTTTGTGTTTATTTGTTACCACAGTAGTAATACTACTGTAAATATTTTTACTAGCAGTAAGCAACCCGTAATACGCGTTGTTAGTAAATAAAATTTAAAAAAAAAACGCGTATAGAAAAGCCTAGAAACTCCTTTAAAATAGAAAAGCCTAGAAAGTGACGTAATTCGACTAATAATATTAAATTAGCGTATTAATATTATCAGATTTATAATTAGAATGGATGTTTTAAGGATTGAATAAGTTATTAGAAGAATTGAATTAGTATCAATTAAAAAATAATTGATACGGTTAGAACTAGACAAGCTAGCTTTGAAATTAATTGTTGTCAAAATGCAAGAAATGCGACAATTAAGAAATGCTGTTTGACAAAAAGAAATTAATACTTAAATTAGAACATCGCAGTTAGGCAGATTTGATGAAACACCTTTTTTATCTTACTATAATGCTTTAGCCTATTTTCACTATTTCCGCAAGCTTTACAAGATTTACAGGGAGTTATATATGTCATAATTCCAATATCGATTTTTTTTAAATATATTAAAATTTATAATGCATGTTAATATTTTGCTTTATTTACTGATTATGTGGTTTAATCTATGAATCATAGGCTGCCATGTTTTAAAATATTTGGTCAAACTTTTCTATTGTGTAGGTAATCTTAGGCCAGATCAAGATATTTCCTCAACATTATCAACTGTATATCTCTGACCCACTTGCAGTAGTAAATTTTAGAAAATATTAACATAGCGATCAACTTTGCCTACATAATTTATTGTTTTATTTGCAAACTATAGTTAGCGAAGTTGCAGTTGTATTCGTTGGAGAAGATGGTGCAACACCTGCTTCCAGAAAAGTTATTTACCCAAAAGGTCATTTGGAAGTTATATTGAGTATGGCAGCTAATTTAGATCCTATGGTTTGTTCACTTTTTTTTCCATGAGATGGCATAATTGGTGCACAAACCTTAACATGCAACATTGGTTAGAACTCATGTTAAATTATTTCAGTTTTACAATTCACTAAGCCTTCACTAAGCCAAAACTTCTGTTCAAGAATTTTGGCAAGAATTTTTTTTATTTCAGCAATATGCTGCTGATGCATATGTTAAAATTGAAGAGCAGTGTCTTGCTTTCATAGAAATAACCAAGGCTAACTGAGAAGCATGCAATATGATGCATTACATAAAGATGTAAGCAACCTTGGTTACAATCATAACCTTAGACCAGGGTGCGTTATAGTTTTCTATTTATTTAAGAAGTCTATAAAAACTATTAAATTTTTATAGTACTATTAAATTTTCTATTAAATTTTTTATACTATAATACTATTAAATACTATAATACTATTTATACTATTAATACTATAATAATACTATACTAATAAAAATACTATAATATAACTAATAAAAATACTATAATACTATTTATACTATAATATTATTAAATTTTCTATTAAATTTTCTATTGAACTATTATATTTTCTATTAAACTATTAAATTTTCTATAAAAACTATTAAAAAGAAGTCTATAAAAACTACTAAATTAGACCAGGGTGCGTTATAGTTTTCTATTTACTTAAAAAGTCTATAAGGGCGTGTTATAGTTTTCTATTTACTTAAAATGTCTATAAAAACTAATTAAAAAATCAAAATGTTAAAGTATTAAAAAGATCTGCTAAACTAAATCTTTTTTTTACAAAGTTATTTTCAAATGTTGTTAATTAATGTTGTTCAAAATTGTTAATTTGTTAATTAATGTTGTTCAAAAAAAATTCAAATGTTTATAATAAGTATGTTTTCGTGTGTAATAATGTAAATGTTAATAGTTTATAAGATATAATATGTTCAAAGTTTATATATGTTTATATTCTTTTTTCTTTTAAATGTTTTAGAATCAGTGTTTTTTTTTAATTGGATATTTATATTTTAATTGAAATTTAACCTTACATATATCTACTTTTTATTATGCTCAACTTTCTCACTGCTATAGATATTCTAGGATATCAAGACTGATAAGATTATTATAATAACTTTTATATATTTTAGTTCCAATATTATTCACTACATTTTTTTATGAATCAAATTTTATTAAATTTTTATATAACTGATTATAATTATCCTAAAATGAAATGGTTATATATATATTTTTTGAAGTTTAAACAATTCAATTCTTTTTTTTTTTTTTAGTTATCATTGCTTTATTAGTTTGCTTACTGTTGAAACATGGTTTTAATTTAGTAAATTTATACGATATGAAATTTACTGCGCTAATCATTATTCACAGTTATGAAGGAATTGGAATTCGAAACTATTGGGGTAAAAATATTTTTGTTTGTTGGTAACATTAAAAAGCTTTTTTTTTAATGGTTAATTGTGCTATAGCTATTTTGTGCTAATATATATTTTTAAAAACAATTACTTAAGTTAAGAATATAATAATTTATTTTAACTTTTTTAAAACAGTGCCTTTAAAACACAGTCTGTCTCCTCTCTGTTTAACAAAAGTTTGTTAATAAAGAAGAGCATTATTGAAACACTCTGTTAATAATAAGTTTTTTTTGGTATCATAATTGATAATGACCACGTTTAAAAAATGTTTTAGGAGTCACTAATTTGTGAACACAATATATGTAAAATAATGCTCCCCTTTTTTAATAAACTTATTCTAAAAGCAATAATAAATATGTAAAATAATGCTTTTGTAGTTTAAGATAATCATTTTTTTTTTAAGTTATGGCAAATTCTAACTGACTTTCCTTCTCTGGTGCTTGCTGTTATTAAAAAGAACCTAATATCTCAGTTTTTTAGTCTTTACTAAATGCTAAGACCAATAAAAGCAAGCAAAACGAAAAAAATTATATTATATAGATGGCATTGTCAAGATTTTTTACAGAGGAGATCGCAATATTTTTTACGGTGAAGTGCAAAATTTTTACAGAGGGGAGAGCAAACTAATAAAAACTTTTATGGCATTTTTCAGCAGAAAAACTGGGATAATGCCAGCCCTAAATATAGTTAAATTTGTATTTTATATTTTTCAGATAATATATTAAGTTAAATTGTCATTTATTCATTACTTACCCGTATTATGGGTTGCTTACTGCTAGTAATATATAAATTGTGCATTGCTATAATAAACAATATTAAAAAATAAAAAATTGTTTTGTTTTTATAAATGATGACATTCTACGACTACGTAAGTCTCTTTAACAATTTTTAATATAAGAATAATTAAAGTTAATAGATTTAAAAAGATAAACAAAATTTCGTTGAAAAAAAAAGTTTTAGAAAGCCATTACAATTAAATAAGTTTGATCTTAAATGCTTTTACATTATCGAAACGCTTTTCAATAAAGTAACAAAACACTTCTAATTAATTTTTAAATAAGTATTTTTTTATTTTCTCGTTCGTTGAGACTTTTTTTCTTTTTACAATTTTTTTTAAAAATAAGATTAGGTAAGTTTTTGTAGCGCATTTTTAAATTTTGAAAATATGACAAAAGCCGTGTTCAAATCGTTAAAACATATTATTTTGTGTGTGGCCATATAAAGATGTGTTTTCGTACGCCTTCCTTTGAAAGCCTGATATAGTACATAGTCAGAGAATTCAAACCTAATTTTTGGACAATTCAAATTGAGAAAACAAGTCTGGTCAATTTTAAAACAGTTAAAATTCAACTGATGGAATGTTATTTTAAAGACCATGAATATTTCTAGAAGATATATTGAAACAGTTATGTGCTAGTGATGCACATAACTGTTTTTTTATGTTTAATATTTTTGATTACTTTGTTCATGGTTTAACTTAAAGAGAACTTGATTTATTTATAGAAAGGGCATGATATCACAAGCAATAAGCTATACAGTTGCCTCAGTCCTGCTAATCAACTCAAAGTTGTAACTGAGGATTCCTTATGTAGCATCAACAATGCACACCAAAAGCTTAACAGTCTTACTTAACATTGTCTTTACTTGTACATTATCTTTACTTTTACTTGTGCATTCTCTTTACTTGTGCTTTTGGTGTAGATTGTACTTAACTATTTTACAGCTGTTAATGAAATCAGCCTCTCTGAGAGCTACTAAAGAGTTTAGGAAACCTTACCACCAGCTAGCCTCAGTTCCATGTAACTGAATTTTAGAGCTAATTATGAGATACTAGTAAGAATTGCAAAGCCATTATCAAGAGGCACAAGCAAAAATTTATGAGTAAAGTCAAGAAAACTGAGTAATCATCATCCAAAGCAGGAAACAATGTAACACAAGTTTACATCTATGCCTAATAGATAAAGAAGGGGCGTGAGGCTGGTCAGCATAATTATTCTGCTTACCCCTAAAGTTAATGTCTAAGAAGCGTTCTACAAGACAGTAGCTAGATGCAGTTAACATCTGCCTAAGATGAGTATTTTTATTGAGACATAATTTCTAGCTTTTTCTCAATCAAGAGTCCCAAGGCAATTTTAAGTCAGAGTTTGTCTCTCCAAGCCAATCTTACAAGGCAGCAGGACACATGGCAGATAGTACTGGTTTATATGTTACTAGTAGCAGAGGTAATCATGATGATTCTGAAGCTGACCTGGAGTAATTAAAAGTTACTTATGTAAACGGTACTTTAAAACAATGAACAGGAGATTTTTCATTTAACATTTAATTTATAGTTAAATAATTAATTATGTAAATATAAAACAAAAAAAATTAAAAAAAAAATTATGAAATAAATAATAACGTATTTTCAAAATACCTGGAGGTCCATGAATAACACTTATCAAATTTTGTGTGTGCAGAACAAATTTCACAGCTTCCTGTTGTGATATGTCCAAGTTATCATCAAAAAAACTAATCTGTTTACTCAAGCATCCTAGACGATCATTTGGGCTTGAGCAGCAGGGAAACATAATGCTGACTAAAGCTCTACAAGGTGAGGATGATGGAAGTCTCAGGAGCAATTTAAGGGTTCTAATAAAAAGTATTAAAACATAAAAAATATAATATAACTTAAAATTAATAATATTACCCTGAGTAAATTAGATTTTTAAAAATGTAACAAATTTTACCACTTTCTAATATAATAAACCAAAAAAATGTAACATAATAAACCAAAAAAACTCTAGCGTTATTAGATGCACTTTTCTACTTTAATGAATTTTTTTACAACCTAAAACAGCAATTTCAAATATTTTGAGTGTCTAATAGCGCTTCTGCGAGAATATATATAATGTTAACTCCATCTACTAAACATTTCTTGTAACAACTTAATGAACAACATATCCGTAGAATAAACATGTCTTCATGTGAGGATGATTATAATGGGTTTATTTAAGTCTCCTTTTTAACTTTTTTAATTTTTAGTAATTCAACATGTACAATTAAATGGAATAAATATAATATAATTAAATGAAACAGCGGAAAATTATTAAAAGTACTATAAAATTATTATAACAGTTTGAATAACAACATTGTAGCAATATTCAAAAAGCTTTAGCAAATGGTATGAATATGAAGGACATTTTTTTTGGCAGAAAATGATTAACATCTTAAATCAATGATAATATCAGGAATTCTGTGAAATCTAATGGATTAAGGCCCACAAAATGAAATACAAAAATTTTTAATAAATTAATTCTTTAATAAATGTGATAAGTCTTTAGTTAAACTGTTTTTTCGTACTGGATTTGGCCAATTATTAAATTTTAACCTAAATTTTATACTAAACAGAAATCTACTAAAAGAGTCATAGCAAGTTAGATAAATTTAAATCTGAATTATTTTTTTTTATTTCTGATCATTTTCGTAAAAAAAAAAAGTATATATATATATATATATATATATATATATATATATATATATATATATATATGTATGTATGTATGTATGTATGTATGTATGTATGTATGTATCTATATTTGTATACATACACTTGGGAATCACTGGATTGTATACAATCCAGTGATTCCCTCTGGAGCCCAGATAAATTACCTCTGGGAAATTTATCAAAAATAGTTAATGGTTGACTGCTGTCTTGCTAATCTCTATCACAACCTCTAGCAAAAAAACGGTGCAAACAAATAGTTGTTGCAGTTGAGGCAACTCAACTTTGAGTAAAAAATAAACAAATATTAAAAAGTTAGTTAAAAAATAAAAAATAAAAAAAGTTACTTAAAAAAAAAAAAACCTTTCAAGTCTTTTGTATGTGACATCATTAGTAAGCTTCATAAGTCGGTAAACTGATACAACTGAAGTATCAAACTCTTCCTGAAAGGCTACTGTTGTTGAATTATCTTTAACAAATAAAACAGTTCCTGTACTGATTGGTTCTTGAGAATTTGATTTATTGCCATACACACCAACAATATCTCCTAACAACAAAATGACTATATATATATATCAACCCTTGGAATTAGGGTTGGCATTCGGCAATGCCGACCTAACTACCAACCTAAAAGTGGTTGAGGTCGGCAAAAAATTGCAGACCTTGTTTCAATGTTTTATGGTAAGACTTTTGTTTCAAATTTTTTTTGCCGACCTGATGGCAATCTCTAAAGGATTGAGGTTGGCAAATAATTGCTGACCTCGTTTTTCCTAATTCCGAGGGTGTTATATATATATATAAGGTTAACACATGCTGCCATATTTGAATGAAATAAGTATAACCTTTTTATTAATTTTATCATTTTTTTATTAACTTTGGTAATAAAAACTTTGATTTTCATTTTAAAAAAAAAAGAAAATCAAAGTGTAGATAATGCATGAGTACACGCAAACCCTCAGGAGATGTATGCAGTTGCTGCCATTATAGTATGATATCAATGACATCAGTGGTGTTAGATTAGTTTGCATTTATATTATTTAACATTGTTTTAACATTTTTTATTAACACTAAAAAAAATTTTAAACTTTTGGTTGCTTTTGAGGTGACTAAAACAAAGTGAAAAAAATTTTGTTTTAAAAAAAATCTACTTTCTTTTTTTGATTTTAATTTCAATTGCATCTAAGTTTATTTCTAATATTGCATATGAGAAAAATGAACTTTTTTGATGACGTTTTTTGAAATAATCACAACAATTTATTAAAAAAAAACAAAGATTTATTAACAAACACTTGCGCATAAAACTATACTCTTAAAAATATTTTGTCCCCGTCAAGAAACTGACTACAACTTCTTTGTCATTTCAGTTGTCTTTTAGATGTTTTTCATGCAAGACAGTTATAATGATACATCATGTTAATCTTAATGATACGCCTTGTTGATCTTAATGGTATGTTGATCTAAATAATGTTGATTTTAATCAACAGTATATCAAGGTTAAAAATGTTGAGGTCAGTTTGACAAACTGAAACCTAAACTAAATGGTCATATATTTTTTTCTTATTTTTTTTACCAACAAAATTAAAGTTGTTATTCTTTTTACTTTTGTAATATAATTAATAACAATAAAAACCAGTATTTTTTTATCAATATATAATACAAAAATAAAAATAAAACATCAAAAAACAATAAAATGATAATTTGAAAAATGCTTTTAAAACATTTGATTAACTAAATTCAAACAATAAAGGGACAGTTAATTATACTTCAACAAATTCCCACCACTTCAATTCATTCCCACCATGTCCCACGCACCGGGCTTAACTTGTTTCTCTGCACAGCGGCCTTATTCATCAAGTGTTTCGGAGTTAAGCGAGGGTTATAACCACAAGTAGCCTCCTTATCTGTAGTGGCCTTCTTGGCCTTGGGGAGGTAAATTATATAAAAAAAAAAAAAATGCAGGACACCATCTCTGATTTTTTATGATTTTTATTTTGCATTATTTGCATTATGTAAATATTATGTAAATATATATTATTGAATATATATTTAATACATATTTTTATATTTAAAGTTTTATATTTAAAATATATATTTAAAGTTTTAATTTTTCCAGCCTAACACTTAAGAAGCTATAAGCTATTTAGGTTTGGTGAAAAAAATCAAAAATAAATATATATATATATATACATACATATATATATATATATATATATATATATATATATATATATATATATATATATATATATATATATATATATATGTATATATATATATATATATATATATATTTAGCATATATGCAATATATGCTAAATATACTTATATTTCCAAAAAAAATGACAAAATGAAGTTTTGTGTATTTATTAACAAATCTTTATAGGTGAGCTTTCTGATTTGCTACTCTTATTTAAAATTAGGGCAAGAGTACAAGTAACTTGTATTTTTGTAAGAACTTGCATATATCTAATACTAAATTTGCTCAAAGCTCTAATTTTCAACCATTATTGGATGTCTCTAACATTTTATATTGATCTAATAATTTGTTAAATAATCTAATTTGCAAGTAAGATTATTAGACCTAAAAATTGAAACATTTTTAACTTGCTAGATTCGCATAAAAAATTGCAGTACTTTTTAATAACCTTTTTTTTCATTACTAGAGAAAATTACCACCTCTAATCTGCCTACTAACTTATCTAAAGGGTGCAATCAACTGTATGTTATTTCTTATAAACCAAAGATACAGTTAAATGCTCTTCCTTGATCTGGTCTTCAAACTGAACAGCACAAATAAAGGGGCTGTAACTATTTATAGCTTTGTATTGTAGTTTAAATGTGACACTCAAAAATAAATCTAGTAATTCTTAAAACTGCAATTTAAAAACTTTAAGAACTTTTAATTTTTTACATTAATTTCTGAAATTTCAGAGCATAAGTAGAACAGTGGATTCTCACATTACTTTGCAACATGAAGAAGAATAAGTCCAATCAAATCATTATAATACTGATTTAGTTTTTAAAAATAAAATTTTGTTTTTAAAACATTAAGATAATTATGAACGTTTGTTTTTTTGACATTAAACATATAATTAAATTAGATTATCATAAAAGTACACATTGAAGTCTGTCTTAATTTTTGGAAATAAAGACAAAGTAGAAATTTGTCATCATTTGATAAATGAACAAGTCATTTCAGAAATACCATAAGTCATTTTTGGACAAAAATGATGAAGCACAGAATCGCATTACATGAGGGTAGATGCATGTTACATACATGTCAAACCTCTCAGTCAACACTTTATAAAGTGCTGACTGAAAAGTCTGAATAATGTGATTTCTCAAAGAAACATGTACCTACCCTCAGATAACACAATATTGTGCTTGACTCATTTTTGTCTAAAAATGACCTATGGTGTTTCTGAAATGACCCATTCAAATACAGTAGGTTTTTGTCTTTATATTAGACCTTAAGAACATGAGAAAGAATGAGAACAAATTGAGAATTTTAGGTTTTAGTTATGTAAGAAAAATATTGTCAAATAACTTGATAAAAGACATGACTCAGATAATATATTAAAGTCATATCTCTCAATTGAACTTTTCTACAGCTGAAGTCCACACAATATTCCTGTCATAATCTAACAAAAGTGTTCTCCAGAACCCTCTTCACCAGTCCTCTTCAATTCTCTCTAAACTAATTAACTTAATTTATTATTATTTAAATTTTTTTTTTTAATTTATTTATATAAGTGCTAGACTGAATCTTGTTTTCCTGCCTGCTAGAAAATGGCACCTGTTCCAATTTTCAAAAACTCAGGAGAACATTCTGACCCCTTTAGCTTTTTTAACTCCAAAAAAACTCAGTTATTTACTGCAAACAACTATTGTAATACTGTCAACATTCCTATATTGATGAATGGCAATCCTCTCACTGAGTCTTCTTCGTTACATCTTCTTGGATTATCTACTGATCTCTAATGGAAATTATACATAAAATCGATTGCTAAGTTAGCATCTGCTAAGGTTGCTTCACTTTATCAAGCTTGCCATATTCTTAATGATTCCATTCTATACCTTTACAAATCTCCTATTCATCCCTGTATAAAATATTGCTTTCATGTTTAGACTTATAATATTCTTTCTCTTCTAGGTAAAGTCCAAAAATGCATTGTAAATATAGTTGGATCTGCCAAGCTTGAGTCTCTCTCCTATCATTGTAAGGCTGCTCTTTTCTACAAATGCTAACACGGTTGCTGCTCAAAGGAGTTCTTATCACTAGTTCCATTGACCAAAACACATTTCTGCTTGACTCACAACTCAGAAAAGTCTCATCATTTTATTGTATGTGTCTCTGCATACTCTAAAAACTTTTATTTATCTAGTTTTTTTCTATGCACTTTAACTCTTTGGAACTCAGTCAGGGTTCGTATTTCGGAGTTATAGAGTTGAGAGATTTGAAAAGAGTAGCCTCCTCGAAGTAGTGGCCTTCATGGCTGTGGGGAGGTGAATTGAAATATATAAAATATATAAATACAATGTTGTGGTCTTAGAAAATTAAATGACTTTACCCATTGCATTTCAATTCTTCTACCCATTTCTGGTAAAGTTATGAAAGATTGTATAGTATGGGTCACTTCTGAATGTGCTGTCTACCATTAATTGTTACCAGAAGCTTGTGTCTAATTTTTTAAAACCCCTGAGATCATTCTGAGTAGCGCCCTATCGTCTTACTGTTATTAGCAAGATAATTGATTTTTTAACTTACTTCTAATATCTCATCTTAAATCTAACAATTGATGACACAATGACACAAACTTTAATACAAACTCTAGTCTCTTCAAAAAATTGTCACTTTTTAATCCCTTAGAATAGATAATTGATCTGGAAATATCTCTTTTTAACAGCTTGGGGCTTACAGAGGTTGGTGAATTTAAACACCAAAAAAACTCAGTTATTGATAATAATAATCAAAATATTGTTGATACTCCTACATTGATTAATGGCAACACTCATATACTCCAAAATTTTATTTAATCTCTACTAAAATCTTATTAAAAATTATCAGGAAGAAAGCAAAGATTTAATAAAATTACATATAACTTGTAAATAACATAACTTGAAAAATCAGAAGTCAATGTTTCCTCAAAAATGCATTATAAAACAATTCATGCTTGCACTATGTGATGATTGCTCTGGTAATGAACTGCTCACCAGGTACTTGTATACAGGCTAGTGAAGCCGAATGTTTTTTTTATGGCTTAGCTTCAGCTCCTAAGAAATGTCCGGCTCCAGCTCAGCTCCTGTACTTTATGAACAAAAATTGCAAGTTTTGAAACATTTTGATTACATATGGCAACCCAAATCCAAACCGCAATTAACTTTTAACCAACTTTCATGATTACAAGTATACAGAGTTGTTAGTCCTTGGACTTGGCCTTGCCTTAAGACCGAAAATTAAGGCCTAGGCTTTGGCCTTAAAACTTTTGGCTTTAGCCTTGGCCTTCGCCTTGAAATTTTTGGCATTGGCCTTGATTATTTTGTCCTTGGTCTTCATAAAAAAAAAAAAAAAAATGAAAGAATGAAAAGTTTTAATTCTTTATTTTTATGTATCTTTTATATATATCTACAAGTATATTTTCTTATTGACTTTGTTGAATTCTGCGCATAAACTTGATCTATTTTCACAACATGTGGTTTTATTATCATAACACTTGCTACTTACAGTTGGTTAATAATTGGCCTTAATGCAAGACAAAAATTTAAGTCTTTGGTCTTGAAAATGTTTGCATAGGCCTTGAATCTCTTATTCTTGGCCTTGGACTTGTAACATGTGGTCTTGGCCTTGTGACATATGGTCTTGGCCTTGGCCTTGCTACTTTTGGTCTTGTTCACAACTCTGCAAGTATATTGTATTATTATTACTACTCTACTACTGGACATAACATTTGAAAAGAAAAATGTTTTGAGTAAATATACATTTTTTTTCAATATATTATTTATTTAGTAGAGCTTTTAATTCTAATATTAGCTTTAATTCTATTTAGTGGGCGCAGGACCTAAAAAAGACATCTTTTGAATGTTCAAAAGACGTCCAAAACGTTCAAAAGACGTCCAAAACGTTCAAAAGATGTTTAAATTGCTCCAAAGACATTCAAAAGATGTCTTTTGTATCTCCTGTGCCCACTTGGTAAAACATGTGATTGTTAAATTCAAAAAGATATAGGGCTGCAAAGTTAGGTCATTAAAAATAATAAAACAACTAGTTTATAGTTGTTTTTATTAATTTTTAAGCATGTTCCCTTCATACTTTATACACATTTATTGAGTTCTGCATCAAAAAAAAACATTATAAATATAATTATAAACTTTCATATTTTTGCTATTGTTATTCCTTATTTTTTTAAAAAACATTCTTTCTTTAACGTCGTGAAAATGATTCATTTTAGGTAACCAGGTCAATATTAAAACTTTAATATCTTGTCAACTACTGAACATTTTCAGCTGAAACTTTTTATGCAATATTTTTTCAAAATTAGGAACAATATGTCAAAACATAAAACAAAAAGGCTGACACATAGGTCAATGGACAGGCTGATTTTATATGGTATTACCCAAATACTAATTTCTTAAATATTAGAAACATTTACCTGGATAAAACTGATGAGCTTTTATTTTATTACTTCTGCAATCAGTTTGCTGATCTGAAACTTTCATAACTTTTGATTTTGCAACTGAAAACACAACTAAAAATCTTCCATAAAGACCTGTCGATTGTTGCTCTACATAAAGATAACGAATGCAGAGTCCAAGCTTCTCAAGAACCTTTGGACTCTTATTTGAATAAAGTGTAGTTTTCTCTTCCACTTCTGCTGACTGTTCAATTTTAAGTAAAACCTCTTGTTTTGCAACAAATTCTTCAATTGATTTATACATAATGGCTCTAACTTATTAAAACTAGATTAAAAGATAATAACTTTACTGAATTTAATTAGACATATGTTCAATATATTGCAGCTACTTGTAAAATATTTAGATTATGGATAATTATTCTGAGATATTAAAAATTATTACAAACTATAACATACTATAATAAATTTTTTCCAATAAAAAAAAAAGTTATACTATAACTTGCAGCGCCGTACTATCGCAAGTGCAACAAGTGCAATCGCACTGGGCCCCCTATTAAATACATTAGAAAAACTTCTCCAACACCATAAATTACTACGAATTAAAAAAAAAAAAAATTTTTCTTAGTTTCTGCACAGGGCCCCCAAAAGTTACAGCACGGCGCTGATAACTTGTAATAATAAGAAAATATTCAATCTTTATACATTTTTATATTTTCTTATGTTATTTTCTTTTTTATATGTAAATACATATCCAGTATATGCAGCATGTACTGCACTGTGCATTTACATAAAAAATTACGTAAAAAAGAGCAAATGAGCACGTCATGCTCATTCATAAATATGCTCAGTTACATTTTACATATAAACAACAGCATAAACAATTAAACTAAGGTTATACAGAAATATCTGTGACAGGCTATTATAGAGTTTTATCTTAATAAATTTAAAAGGTATGATACATATTTATGATCATTTTTATGAAACTTTAAGAAAGGTTAAAGATATGATTTCATAAAAATACTGTTTAAATTTAAAAATTTGTACAAAATATAAGCAATTTTTTTTAAAACTTTAAAACAAAAAAACTGTAGTCGATTTGTTATATTAGAACATAAATATTAATTAAAAAAAGGTAACGTAATATTATTAAGCTAATAATATTAGATTTAATATTAGTAATATTAATAATCTTATTAAATAAGCTAAATAAATATTATTTAAAATTATTTTTTATCTCTATTATTTTGAAAAAATTATATAAAATCTTTATAGTGTTTAATCAAAAATTATAAAAATTACAATTTATATCCTTATATTTTCTAATCTATTATCATTAAATCAAAATTAGTAAAAAATTATGATGTAGTTTTTCAAAATAAATACATTTCCATTCATTCATGAATGCGGGTGTATACAAATACAACATCGGACCATATCGAACCAAACCAAATTGTTCCGTACCTCAACGGAACAATAGTACACCACAGCGTACAATAGTACCTCAACGGAACACAGTACACCACAGCCCACTGGGCCATGTGGTGATTAACCCTGACCTTAGACCATTAAAACTGATTCGAAAAAAGTTTTGCTTAATGACGTCAGTTTGTGGCAAAAGAATCATTTTTAGGTCGAGATTGCTTTTGCATTTAACTTATACTTTTTTATTAATCTTAATTAGGCTGTATATAATTGCACAAAAAGAAGTAAAACTGGTAAAGATAAATTATTTCACGGATAAGAGTTTGTATTTATTACAATAGTAATTAATAAATAGTTTTAAAGAATTTACATAGTAATTACTATATTTAGTCTTTATAAGAATATATTCCATAAAAATATAGTCTATATATTTCTAATGAAAAGAATTTTTCTAAAAAATTTAAGCAAAATCTACTAGTTTGTTTTCTAGTTTTTTTTGCCACAAAGTGACGTCACATTCTCTGAAAAATTTTGGCTTCAAAGATTTACGAAAACGCCGTGTCTATCAGTTTTAATGGTCTAAGACCTAATCAGTCCTAAATAGTACCTAATAAGACCTAAATAGTTGAGGTAAGTTCGCTAAACTTAAATCAAAAAATTAAAACCTAATTTAAATTTAAAAAAAAGGTACTCTTCCTAAAATACTAATAGTAGCAAAACTTAAACCTACATATAAATCAGGTGATAAGAAGTTGGTACATATCTGACAAGTTTTAAAATGAATACTTTTTTTTGTCATTATTTACGAACTTGTGACACAAATAAGTACAAGAATTGATGGTCACAGACACATAAATAAGTTATTTGAGTTTCTGTCAAAGCTGTTAACTATTAGTATCATGGAATTGCAAGTTTTCGCAAAATATTGTAAATCTTTGTATTCAAAGGATTTAGACGATAGTTTTAAGTTGCAACCTTAAGCGTTTTTTTTTTCTTATAAACAATAAGGTTGAAAATGAAACACATTGGTTACTCTTTATGTTTTAAATTAAGTTGTTGACACCGATATTGCTGATGTATTTCCAAATATTTATATAAAATATAGACTGTTTTTAACTATTCCTATAACAAACTGGGAGAGTTAGAGATTACTTTTTAATCTTAATGTTCCATAGTTTTTAAGTAATTTAGCCTGATTAACTATTAAATCAAAATTATTAAAAATAAATGTTACATATCCATTATTTCAAGTCAAAATTGGTTTGACAAGTAATGTATTAGTTTTGATAATAACCGAATGTGAAAACATTACGAGAAATTACGAGAAATTAAATGATTTTTACAGCAAAATTTAAATTAACTTAGAAATCAATAAAAGCATTATATTGGACTGATAGCACTCAAGGAGCAATTAAACAAACCACTACAGACGGTGCTATAATAGCGAGTACATTGAACAAGTATTTCGTTTCAACTTTCACAAAGTAAAATTCGACAAACATCCCAAAACCTAGTGACAAATTTAATTTTGAATGCCCGATTCCAAGCTTTACATAGTTTTGAAATGTGTTCTAAATCACTTTTCAAGCCTTTATCAATATTATTTAACAAGTCTTACAAATCAAGTGTTGTTCTGGACCTTTAGAAAAAAGCACACATTATACCCCCCTGATTAAAAAGCACACATTATACCCCCTGATTAAAAAGGGAAGCAAACTTGAACCTAATTATCGTCCAATTTCACTAACTTCAGTTGTATGCAAATTAATGGAGCGTATTATACGTGATGAGATAACGAAACATTTAGTAGTACACAATTTGATAATAAAACAACAACATGCCTTTGTTAATAAAAAAAATTGAACTACCGATTTCCTTGGATGAATTGATCACAAAAGCACTTGCAGATGGATACAATGCAGATGATTTATTATTAGATTTTGCAAAAGCGTTTGACATATTTTTTATTGTTAAGGTTATTGTAAAGATTGGATCGGGATTAGAAACAAATTATTATTGGGGTGTAAAAGTTTTTTAATCCAAAGACTGCAAAGAGTAATAGTTGGAGAATTTGTGTTAGAATGGGAGAAAATAGATAGTGAAGTCCTTCAAGGCTCAGTTTTAGGTCCACTATTCTTTGTGGTATATGTAAACAATTTATTAATTAAAATCAAAAATGAAGGCAAACTATTCGCTGACGATACTAAACTATTTGTAGTCATTAAATCGGAATCAGATAACATCAGTTTAAGAAACGATCTTAATATTTTAAAAGAATGGACAGGGGACTGGCAAATAAAATTTAACTCGCAAAAATGTAAAGTAATGCATTTTTGATATAACAAATCTAAATATAAATATAAAATTGATGAAGTTATCTTAGAGGTAAGAAGTTAAAGTTGAAAAAGATCTTGGTATTTTTATCTCGAATGATTTTAAGTGGAGTCACCATATAAGCTATGCGATTAATAAAGCAAATAAATAAATAGAAAGAATTAAACATGCATTTGAATATATAGATGAAAGTATTATTAGCTTATTATACAAATCATTAGTTGGTTCCCATCTCGAGTATGGAGCAGTTAACTGGAACCCCCATTGAAAAGGAGCAATTAATAGACTTGAAAATGTTCAAAATTGAACGACCAAAATAACATGTCTAGTTGGTTATGTTCATGAAGAAAGAAATTTAAAACTAAAATTGCCTTCACTAAAAAGCAGAAGACGGTGATTTAATTCAAATGTTCAAATTAGTAAAACGAATTGACGAAATAATTTTGCGTAACCGAATTGAGTATTTTAATACTAACGGTCGAGCATAAGGTCATAAATTAAAAATGCATAATTAAAAGGTCATAAATTAAAAAATGCATAAGAAATCAATACAAACTCAAAATAACTACAAGTTTAACACAATCAGACAAAAAATTTTAATTAATAAAGTTGTAAATGACTGGAATATACTAGCACAAGAAATCATTGAGTCAACAAACGTAAATCAATTTAAGAACCACTTTGATAAATACTTTAAATTTTAACCTCAAATCTCATATTTTGTATATTGTTTTTAATCCTTGTTAAATTTTTTTGCTGTTGTAGACTGAAATTCTACGTAATTTCAGTTTCAACTCTTATGAGTTACAGTATTATTTCTATAATCTTGGCTTCCATTAATGTGCGCAGTAAAAAATTAAATAACCACGCTGAATGGAGACATCAAAGTAATAACTTGATTGAGTTCAATATAACAAAGCAGCAAAATAGAAACGTCAGTGCCACTGATTTTTTTAAGATCTGAATCCCGTGACAATTATTGAACTTTTCGACTAAAAAGAGTTATTTCTTCAAAAACTAGTTAATGGAAAAAAGAAAGCATGCAGTTTACAAGCTTGTATACTCTGCTAAAGGTAGAAGTGCTTACTGCAAACCTTGCTTCTTTTTTGGGAAAACTAAGAGTTATTTAAAATCCATTGCTTGACATTCGTTTCACTCCAGCTTTTGAATCTAAAGTGATTTTCTGCTTAGACTGAATCTAAAGTGATTTTCTGCTTAGAATTTTCTACAACTTATAGTCCGGACAACATACTTGAACCATCTAATTATCGATAGAGACATTTTCCAGAGTCAATACTTTCAAAACTATTAAACAAGTTCTTTTTTTTCCAGTCTGCTGATAAAAATCCAACACTCTCTAATTGAATGGAGGAGGCATTTGAGCTTGAAAAAAATCTCATTTCTGCAACAGAATGGGGCTCTCGGCGGCTGGTGAATTTTAACTGCGATAAAACTAATTTTTTTCAGCTAATTGTTTTTGCAATAATTTATATCTTCCTATATTTCTAAACGATAAATTATCCACATTTCGTCTTCTAAGATTACCTTACCTCCAATCTTTCTTGGAAACCATATATCAAACCGATTTTAAAATTAGCATCTTCTAAGGTTACATCTCTTTATCGTGCTTTTCACTTTCATACACCGGATTCTATTCTTTGTTTCTATAAACCTCAAATCCGTCCTTTTATGAAATACTATTTACCATATCTGAAGCGGATCTTTGAACGATGTCCTTTTTTCTTTTAGAGAAGATACAAAAACATATACACATAGTTGGGTCTGCTTTTGCAGCCAACCTCCAATCATTATCACATCGTCGTTATGTTACTCCTCTTTTCTTTTCTATTGATACTATAAAAGGCGCTGGTCTAAAGAGTTAGCGTCTCTTGTGCCATCAACTGAAATTCATTCTCGTGTTACTCGTCATTCGATTAAGTCTCATCTGTTTACTGTGGCTCTTCCTAAGTGCTCCAAATATTCTTATTCGTCTAGTTTTTTTCCTCGAACATCAGTTCTTTGGAATATGTTTTTTTCATCTTGTTTTCATGATTAATATAATTTGCAATCTTTTAAGTTGACTGTTCATTATTATCTTGCTATATAAACTTTATCTTTTTTCTTCCAGTAACTTTCAACTTTAATAGGGGTTGATTGCAGTCTCGTTGGGAGTGGTAATGTTGAAAAAAAAGGCTTTCTTCAACAGCTATATAAGATTTTTTAGCTTTAACGCATTGTTGGAAAGTCTCAAATCAAAACTGGAAAACGGCGTAAAGGCTCCAAAAAGTCTCTCGCAGACTAGAAGATGTGTTTTTGGCTCTTCAAATGCCTTGTTCCAATTACAAGCTATAACTAAGAATCAGTTTTTTTAAATTCTTAGTTGTCAATATTACTTGTATATTTGTATATATAAAAAATGTGTTTAAACTTTTTTTTTTTTTTTTTAACATTATATTTTGTCGTTTAATAAGTATTACAGTTTACATAAATTTACAATTAAGTTAATACAGTTTAGATAAATTTGCAATTAAGTTTACATTAATTTGCCTTACCGCCGAGCACCGTGTTACAAATTATAATTTTTTACAAAGTTATTGGTATATAAGAAAAATTGAATAAATGTTTACAAGAATATAAAAAATAAAATAAGATACCGTTTAATACATACTATCATAAAAAGACGAGATAAAAGTAAAAATGAATATATATATAAATTTATATACACATTTATGTATATAAATTTATATATATATATATATATATATATATATATATATATATATATATATATATATATATATATATATATATATATATATATATATGTATATACTAGTGGATAACTAGTGGATAACTAGTGGATTTTGAGTGAAAATGGATCAGCTGGAGACGGACTTTAGCTAGCATCATGGTATTTATCTTGAATATAATTATGGAAAAGTTCAACAAAACGAACTGAATGCTTCAAGCCGTTGAAATCAACTTAACAATGATGAATGAACTGTATAGCTCTTTGACTATTTTCGATGAAGAGGTTAGATTAAAAGAAACTATGGTGTTAGCGGGCACCAACAAGTACTTTGCTGACCAAAACAAAAAGTAGTGCACAAATGCCAACATGATGGATTGACGTCTATTGAGGCGTCAGACATTACTGGAAGAGATATAATGATTGATGAGGTTAATATTATCATGGATTGACTTTTAGCTGAGATTTTTTTTAAATTGAAAATGTTATTTTTAAAGATATTATCGTGGAAGATGTGACTGATCATTTCGTTGATTTTCCGCCCCAAGATATCAAAACAATTTATCAATTTATGAATAAAAAAAATGTGACGTAAATGAAAAGGATGTATACTTTAGAAATGTCTGTACTTTGTTTTATCGTGCTGAAGTGTTTTAATTATATGTAGAAAAGAAAGATATGATTTTCCATAGCTTATTTTTTGGATTACCTTATTATAATTACCGCATTTACTTGTTGGCTTTTGATAATATGCAGTAGTATTTATTATGCAAAGCATATAAAAAAACGTGTTTAAGTACAGATTGTGTGAAAGTGCGAGGGCATAGGCCACAATCGTTACTATCTTGGGGCCAGGAAGACCTAATGACGGGCCTATTTTTAAGGTCTGCTTTTTTACTTTAAACATTTGAAAAAAAAAATTATTTTCTCAAGTTTTTAAGCAAAATAATCTAACTAGTTATAGACATTACTATTTCTTTTATTTATTACTTTCTATATTTATACGCAAAACAAGTAATCCTAACTATACTTAAATTTTATTTTTAATTGTTACACAATTTTATTTGTAAGACACGCAATGAAAGCACGTCACAGCTAACAGGACGTGGTAATTAATCAAATATTGTCTTCTTTTTGCCCTGGCCATGTAATTATTATTTATATTACACAAAATTGTAAGTATTTTCTATTGAGAAAACATAACCAATATTGTTTTATACTTGGGTTTATGATTCAACAAAGCGATCTTGATCCAATTTTGAGTCCCATAAAAAGTTGCTTATTCTAAGTTTGTTCTTCTTGTAATGGTAACTTTGCGAAAGCAATAGTATTAGGATTAAACGGTTGAAACCCGCATTTCCGTAATAAAATTGCAATATATTAATAATAGAAGAACAAAAAAAAAATTTCTAGGTTAAAAAACCTAGAAACTTTTCCTTAAGCTAAAAAACTTATGTTATATTTTAATTAAGAAAAACATAGCGATTACTAGAAAGAGAGTTATAATGGTTTAGTAGCAGCCACCAGCCTTCCACGCTCACCTGTATTTTTATTTTTAAACAAAACAATCGTCACACCTTTTTTCAGTTATAAAGCTAACGCAAACTGAGTCAGTTATACGAAAGGTTATGTTAATGACAACGATGATAATAATGATGCAAAAAAAAAAAAAAAGATTTTACTGTATAAAAATAAATAAATAAAAATTTCACTCTATAAAAGTATTTTGATTGGGTTTAAAAAATGAAAATATATAATTTAAAAAAAAAGTCAAACAAAAAAAATAAACAGTAAAATTGTTAAGCTCATTTAAGTTGAGATTTCTCTAGCGTTGTTTGGAGCAAGATTTTGTAGAACAAACTCTCCTTGTCCTTTACAAAAACCAGGACACATGTCAACAAAATCCTGAAACGCTAATAGAACTTTGTCAACGTAACAGTTAGCATCGCTCAATTTTTTTTCAAGATCTTTAATTATACTTCTGAACGAAGAATTCTCTTTCTGTAGATCATTGTTCATATCAATAAGTTTGCAGACTCTTTTTTCGCAACATGTATTTAAATCGTTTATTTTGGTTTTCATTAATTCTTCAAAAGAAGCTTCTAAATTTTTTTGCACACTTAAGAGCTCTGATAACAGCTTATCTGTGTTTATTTTTTCATTTTGGAGTCTTTCACTCCAGCTTTTGTTTACTTGGTTTAGTAAGTTTTCGTGTTTTTCTTGTGCAAGTTTTGTTTCCGCGTTGGCTGCATCCGTCTTTATTTTAATGCAGTTCTCGATTGCTGCTTGTTTTTCGATAGCAAATTTTTCGGCCATTTCGGCAAGCGTTTTTTCGTATTTCATTTTTTGGTCAAAGAGCTTTTTTTCAAAAAACTCAGTGATTACTTTTTTTTTAAGCTTTTCTACGCGAATGGTTTCGTTTTTTAGTGCATGTCTAAGAGTTTCAATTCCTTCTTTTTTGACACGATCTATTTCTTTTTCGTATTTACATTTTTGTTCATCAATGAGTATTTGGTGGTTCTTGGTAGTTTCTTTGAGTAATTCTTTTTCACGTTCCAACAAACTATCTTTGAAAATTTCAGCCGTGGTTTTGTCGAGATTGTCTGCAATTTTTTTGCCAACTGATAAGATATGCCGGTGCGTAATTAATTGTAAATCATTTTCTTTAATTAGATACTTACGATCGTTAGCTTTAATTTTTTTTGAAGCCATAACAAAGTAATGAACTTAAAGTCGTTACAACGTAAACTTACAAAAGTAACGAATAGTGGAATCACTTGTACGCAAATTTGCTTCACTTCACGCAAATGCTTGAAAGTTTTTGTGTGATGTGTAAGGTTATAGAAAAGAAAAATTCTAATTAACTCTTATTAATTATTACTGAAAGAAAATTATTGAATTCAAAAAAAAAATTTAACAAAAAAATTTTTATAGCAAATGTATTTACATTTCCTCTATTGTTGTTGCACATGTTTAACCACCAATCTGGTCACGTGCTCTTTGGCTTGTTGGTCATGCTTTTATAACAAAAGATTAAATGTATCGTTGACCTAAGACCTAAGAACAACAACAACAAACTATTTATTTTTCGTAAATCATTTTACAATAGTTTTGATAATAATGATAATAATAGCAATAATAGCAAAAATATATAATAATAACATAAAATAAAAAATATAATTATACAAATTATAGTAATAGTAATAAGTATTTTTACAATAATTACAATGAAAAAGTAATAATAATAACTAATATTAATATAATAATAAACTAATGATTTATTAGGATCAGCGCCGTACTATCTCAAGTGCAACAAGTGCAATCGCACTGGGCCCCCTATTAAATACATTAGAAAAACTTCTCCAATGCCATAAATTACTACGAATTGAAAGAAAAATTATTTTTTTTTAGTTTCTGCACAGGGCCCCCAAAAGTTACAGCACGGCGCTGATTAGGATGGTGTCACTCATACAGAAATCTGATCAAAGGAGTGACACCAATTTTTAATATAATATAAGTAATAATAAGCAAAGACACACACTGAAACACATGGACCGTAAACACACAAACCAAAGCACATAAAATATATATCAAAACATACATGTAGAAATCAATTTGCAGGTTTTACTAATAAAAAAAATAAAAAAAAAGTGCTGATGATAGTTGTAATACTTACGAAAAGAAAACTAAAACAATATTTAAATCATAAGAATAATAATGCCAAAAAGTTGGAATAAAATGTTTTTTAGAATTTTTTTAAATTGATATTGTTTAAGATGGAGTAAAGGTATTTTAGAATATATTTTTTTAGACTCTTCAAAATGCATGCAAGGCTCCAGTTCCATTCACAGGCGCACTGATAAACAATAGAAAGTTTACCATACTTTTGGGTTTTAAAAGATGGTACATTTAGTTTTCCATTGTGTATATTTCTAGTCGAGTAGGAATGTAATAGTTTACTTTCTGTGAACAAGTTTGTGATAGGAGATGGTATACTTTTATTTAAGGAGTCAAAAACAAAAAGAAGATTAGCATACTTTACTAGCGCTGGAAATGTTAGAATGAAAAGATTTTTGAAGAACTTTGATGTATCTGATTTAATTGGTTGGAAGTTTATTAATCTGATGGATTGGCGCTGAGATGATAGCAACTTGTTAATGCGATAGTTTCCAACTTGACCTCAAACTTGACAACAATAGCAAACAATAGATAACAAGATATAACAATAGATAACAAGATATAACAATAGATAACAATAGATAACAATAGTCAAACTATTACGTTGAAGATAGAATTAATCTTTTGTTACAAAAAAATATAAATATTTCAAGACAACAAAGATTTTTATGATAATAAACAAGAATATGTGATTGAAATTCAAGCGTATATTTTCTTACAGTTTCAAAAAAAACTCATCTCAAATCAATTCAATTGTTAAATGACTGTTTTTCAATTAAACACTGTATTTTGAAAACGTGACGAGTCGCAAAATTAAAATTTTACAGCAGAGTGAAAAATGTTTCTCCTGTAAAAAATTGTATGAAAACTTTTTTTGGAGCTGATATAAAGTAATGTGTTTACATCTTACATCTTAAATCAGAAAATTTTTTTTATCCGAAGCATCAACTTTTCGTAAAATTTTTTTTTTTTCAAATAACCTCACTTTTAAAAAAAGTGAGACTCGTCACGTTTTTGAAATACAGCGTTCAATTGATTTGTTAAGAAGAAGAAGTCCCTTTTTTGAAGAAGAAGTCCATTTTTTGTTATTTGCACTTTTTTTCATAATTTCATTTAACTTATGTCGATCTCTCTATGTACTTATGTCGATCTCTCTATGTACTTACGTCGATCTCTCTATGTACTTATGTTGATCTCTCTATGTACTACAAAAATAATACTAGTCCATCTTTCTTTCATTGTTTTTTGTCATAAAGTAGATTTATAAATAGTTTATAAACTATAACTGTCTAAAATTTAAACATTTAAACATTCTCGAAATGAAAATATTGGACTAGTACTGCTCTTTGTTTCACCGATTCAATTTTTACACAATTAATCATTTTAATCATGTAATTAATCACAATTACAATTATTGTTTGATTATTTTTATTGTATTATATTAAGAAATTGCTTTATTATTGTTGTCTTGAAACTTTTGGTAATGATACATAATAAGTTAATATGCTGATAAAAACTTCTGAAAAAACTTAATAAAAGTGAAATATTAACTGAATTAGGAATTAAAATAAGAAGTAGAATTGTTGAAATCGTAAGAACTGAACTTTGTTAATTTTAAGAAAACTGGATTAAAACTGAAATAGAAATAATTTTATGAATAAAATTAGAACTAGAAATTAAATCAACGCCACAAGAACTGAATAGAAACTGAAATAGGAATTATATCTTGAACTTAAATATCACTTCCAAAAAGTGTAAACATTCTGAAGAAAGTAAAGACATGCCAAATATAGTTAAAACTCGATGGTAATCTGCTTAATTATCTAAATGTGTAAGTTCTAGAAACAGTGAAACATAAAGTAAGTTCGATTAGGTTGTGTAACATTTGCTTATATGCGATTGGGAGAGGAATTAGACATCAATATACTGAAATGAATGCTTGTACAAATATTTCAGCTAAATTATTTAATGCTTTAATAAAAATGTTAAGGAAAAAGCCACTTCGGATGTTTTAAGATCAATTTATAAGAAAAAAAAGCTTGAGCATGGAATCCAGACACATCTAAATACTGGTAATTTGTTTATTAGATTTGTTAGTGTCTTCAAATTGTTTAAATCATTAACAGTATTAAACTATTCAGGTGGATAGTGTTCCCAATTAGTTAGTAGAAAAGTCAAATTTGAAGAAACTAAAACTATGATAATTCAACTTTGAACAAGTCAATTTTTTTTTTTTTTTGTTCTTATTACAATATATTCAAAGAAAAATTATTTAATTTACCATTAGATCGTTAGGAAAAATTTACAATTAGATCGTAAAGAAAAATTTACAATTAGATTGTTAAAAACGTTACTCAATGAGAAATAAATAAAAGATAAAACTAAGACTTTTTTTGTTAATATAAAAAGAACGCGGAGACTCGCAGAAGACCATTAGGTCTTGTCATTAAGAACCGCTTGTAAATTAAACCTTCATAAAATTCAATATATATAAAGTCAAGTACATATATAGTTAATCACATTTAAGTGCATGTTCTTACAAATATTCAACTGAATAAACATAAACTAAGATAATACATCAAATTAATAACGTTTAAAAATATGACAATATATCATCATGTGACAAAATGATTACTTTAAGCTTATTTCTGGATGAAAAAATTAAAATCACAGATCCTTCTGAAATCCTTGAGAAAACGTTGAATTTAATTTGAGGCAAAAATTGAAAAAAATTTTACCAAAAAAGTATAATTTTATCTGAATTTTATGATGTAAAGACTTTTTTTTAATTTTTGCAGGAAAAAAAATGTCAACAGATGTGTTAAAAGACCTTGTTTATGTTTCTCAATTAACCAAGCTCAATTTGCTGCTCAACTTTGTAATGACTTACAGAAGGCGAAACCCTTACCAAACATTAATACGAATTGGAATTGATTCAGGTAAAAACGTTATTAGATGAAGAGATTCTGAACCTTATAGCATATAATTTTTAAATTAAAACTAATATCACCTAAGTTAACTTCAAACCTCTTTGATCCAGAAAAAGAACGATGCAAAGATCAAAGTTCTCACGAAACATACTATGGAACTAACCATCCTGTGTATTCTGCATTTTGTGACAACATGTAGAAGACACACTAAAGTTTAGCCACTTTATTAGATCTTCTAAAGTTTGAAGATTGTAAATATGTTCTTGCAGCTGATTTGAAAATACTTGATATTCTTTTAGGAATTTCAGTAAGTTATAGTTTAAAAATAATTTGTAGTGTAACTTTAAATTGGAGTTTTAAAGAAAGCATAAACAAATTTAGTCTCATAAGCTTGGTGTGAAGAAGAATGTAAGCTTTTCGGTGGATTAATGAGAATATTTTTACCTTGATGCATACGCTTGTTTTCTTTTAAATCAAATACAGGTTTAGCACAAAATGTGTGTCCCGATAGAAACCACTAGCAAAAAACTTTCGGTATTGATTGGTCAATTAAATTTTTATATATAAATTACATGGGAGATTTTTGACAAAAATTAATGCCGTGCAACTTTAAAGAAAAAAAATTTTTGAGAAAAAATTTAGGGCGCAATCCCCCTTTCCCAGGAAACAAGTTTAACATACATGTTCATTGCGACCACACAAATACTAAAAGCGTCAGAGTTCTAACAAGTCTGCAGCCGTATTCACATCTCTCAGTTAAGCCTAATAAAATTATATTTTTAAAGAATTTTTTTATTAGTGTAGTTAAAAACAAACTTTTGACTACCGCTCCGTTAAGCTTAACGTAGAGAATAAAAAAGATTCGAAAAAGTGGAGTTCCCCAGTTGGTTCTCAAAATAATTATCTCAAAATAAATAAAACATGCACGTTTATCAAAATAACACAAATACTGAAATTTTCAGAGCTCTAACTAGCCTGGAAGGAAGTAAAATATCAACCGCAAAATTCCGGAACAACTGACAACAACAAACAACTAGCGAAGGCGAATTAACAATTTAAAAAAAATTACGTTGAGTTTATTCTAAAGGAAAATATTTATTAATAAATAAGGTT